CATTAGAATGACTTTGATTATATTGCTGTTTACGTGTAGAATTTGATATTGTTACTATAAATTTAAGAATGAAATATAGTTAAAGGCTGACATTAAGATTTTTATTTCTCAAATCATCTTCAGAAATCATTAAACTATAAAAAAAATACTTGAAAAAGTTATGTTAAAGTACAAATTCCATAATGTTCATGAATGAATGATAATGCAACAATTAATATGGATTTTATTTCCTACAAATTTATAAATAGAACAGACTACAGGACTATTGACTCGACAATTCGAATGTATAATAATTTTACAGTTTTGCAGCAAAAGAGTTTCGCCGTTCTGGAAAACTGAAATCAGCGTTTGAACGATCCTTTGCAGTTCGCAAATTAATTTGACCGAGCAACGTGTCGCGATCAGACGGTTCTTTCATAAACACTAGACATGATTCATAGGGTCATTCGAACGTTAGGGTCACAGAATGTGATTTTATCAATCACAGGTCTTCGAAAAGATCAGATCTTTGTGAATGGTTCATTCATGACCTCATCACTACTGAGAAAAAATTATGTTAATTACAAGAAAACCATAAAAATAGTAAAAACACTAGTAGGGAATACTTCTTTACCACCTGAACCAGTGTTAAATCAGCGATGTACAAGGTTACATGCAGCTTTATACTACACTGAATATTTCTGTCAAAGTTGGCAAAACTTTCAAAAAACGATGCGGCTATTTCTCGAAATTCTATTAATGAACATAGTAATAACAAGCTATAAGAAATATTTACTTCTGTCAGCACTCCTAAGGTGGCATGTGCTGTATTTTAAAATTTTAAAAGCGACTTTGATGGCAACATTTGGATCTCCTATCACATGTAACAGGCAAAATCACTAGTTCTCTTATATTCTTTTGTTCCAATTATAATGCTAACATTATAATTTTATAAACCCCACTATGTATATTTTTGTAGATAACTACATTGGCAAAAATATAGAGAAAGTGCTGATGAAATTGGCTACAAATGATGTCAAATCTGTGTTTGTGGTATTGCCATGTCCTTATTATGTATATGTTTTATGCCTCAAATTAATATGCCTTCAAACATTACATTTGTATTATATTATTTTATGAAATCTGGTATTTTTTAAAATTTATATAAAACACGAACGAATGAATATTTGTTTCTTTTGATATTAGTTATTAGAAAAAAAAATTATAATTGACCTTATTTAAATTAATTAAACTTTTAAAAACTTAAAAAAAAAGAATGTTTAAACTCTATCCGTTTTCGAGATGAGCGGCATCAAAACATAAACACGCTTATGCACGTGATAGAAATTTGAAGATGTGTTGTACAGAGTTGCAATAAGCCAGAGCGTTCATATTTTAATTAAAGCCTAAATTATGTTTAATCCTTACATTTCGTAGTACATTTTTTGTAGTTATGATAATAAATGTTGTTTTAATAATTAATAGTAATTTACAGTAAACAATTTTCTAATGTAAACAGTTGATAGTTAATCGTAAACTACTTTTTATAAAATGTTAATACTTTATATAAGTATATAAAATAAATATATGTTTTGCACTGGCGTGTAATACTGTAAACACTGCAATTGTAAGACAAGAAAGATCTACTACCTGACAGTAGCGAAAATTAAATAAAAAGGAAATATTGCAAATATAATAGAATCAAGTAACATCTACTAGCTAAGAATTACGGTTGAAAATAACCTAATACATTCGTTATGAACCAAAAACGGTCTTAAAACGTTTCAACGAAAATATAGTTAAAATTAAAAATAGCATAATAAATTTGTTGTAAACTATTGAAATGTATTTTACATGTTATAAAAGAAGAAAATAAAAATGCGAATGCACGTTTACTTGTACATAAATTCTATTCTGAAAGACTATCAGTACTACTATCATCATCAAGGTTTATTATAATAGATTCCTGTTGGACTTCTATTATATTATCTAATTCCCACATTTTTGGTTCTATCTTTAATACAACATGTTGAACGCATTTTTGCCATTTTTGTGGAGTTATGTTCGCTACAGCCTCGTTAAATAATTTTTTTAAATCTGGAAACTTGTCAGTAGTGTTTTTGGCTGCAACGAAATTTTTTATATCCGCCCATACGAGTTCTATGGGATTTAACTCGCAATGATATGGAGGCAGTCGCAAAACAATTTTATTTTGGCGTTTAGCCATTTCGTCAACTATATACTGGTCATAACGTTTCTTATGTTCCTTGACAATTGCTAGTAATTGTACTTTAAGAAGCGAATCTTCGAAGGAAATATTTTTAGAACGCAGCCAGTCTATAATTTCAGCCTTTTTTGAAGCTGTCGTGGGAACTCGTTCGACTTTCCTTGAATGATAGGGGGCATTATCTAGAAAAATAACGGCTTTATCCTCCAAAGTCAGTAACGTTTTTTGAAACCATTCTTCAAATGACCGTCCGTCCATTTCCTCGTGATAGTCCCCACTTTTTTTTGATTCAAACGTCCACAACGTTCCAGGCACAAATCCGTCTTCACTTCCAATGCCACACACAATAAGACGTTTACCTTTTCCTGAAAAAAATAACTTATTATAACTGTATTGAAGTACTTAACATATCAATACCTGAAGGATTTTTGAGACCCACAGACAGTCCTTCCAAAAACGCTTGTCTTGATGAAACCACTGAAGTGTCACACCATACTTTTGAACGAGTATGACCTGCATTAACCCAAGTCTCGTCCAAATAATATATTTTCCTCTTTTCGTTCCTCAACTGTCTAATTTTTTTCAAAAATTCCCTCCTCCATATCCTAATGTCGTCTCTCTCTGTTAGCATGCTGTTTCTGCCACGCCTTTGAAATTGAAATTTTAATTTTTTTAATAGTAGGTGAAACGATGTACGTTTGAAATTTGGCAGATCTGGATCACTATTGATTTGGTTTAAAATTTTTTCCACTGTGGGAATTTCATTTTTAAAAAAGGACTGATGGACAATCCTCCTTATAGCATTCCTGGTAAATTCGTCAACATTGTCCAGTTTGCTCTTGCGGTTTTTATTTGTTTTTGGCGCAGTTAGTTTGTTAGTAGTTTTATACTCCTTAATTACATTAAATACGCTGGTACCACACACACACCAACCTTATTTCCTACTATTTTTTCTATGTCTCTTAATGGTGTTGTTGGATGTTCTATTACTTCGTTCTTATAGACATTTAAAATTACTTCTTTCATTTCCAAACTTAAATGATTTTTCTTTGTTCTTTTTCTGGAAGGACTCAAAAGAATAGTAAGATCATTTGCAGAATCCGTATCAGACATTATGAAACTGTAAATAACAGGAAAGGTTATTAGGGATTTAGTTTTTCCACTGATACGTTAGGGTGTTCTCGACAAAAGCGAAAGTGGTGTAAGTCATATTTTTGATATTTTGGTGTAAGTCTTGCTTTATAATCTTGAGATACAAATCTCTTAAAAGGAAAAGTGGTATACCTTCTAACTTTATTTATACTTTCATAGATGGCAATAACAATTAAACTAATGAATGAAGAGCTGTTTTTAATAACAGACATTTTCTGCTCTATGTCTAAAGTCAGCAAAACTAGGAAGGCCACTTTCATTCAGACAAATTGATCTGAAAAATTTATACCCTGTGCCAACACTTGTGGCCAAGGAAAAGAAGAGAGACATGTTAGATTTGCTTTCAAATATTCCACCTATCAACCATGTTTACTTTCAGGAACTTGTTGAAACAACAGAAACACAAGATTTAGTTGATATTGAACATGACTGAAATGTTTTACTGCAAAGAAATTACTTTATGGTTGTATTAGTGTAGTTATTTGAGTAAAACATGAAATTTGTGCCTAATTTTTTTGAATTTTTTAAATTTCAATTTACTTTAACCTTATAAAATACAACAAAAGAACTACATACATGATTTTCAATGATTATCCCATTTAGACAAAGACATCTTCCTACAATGTACAACAAAAAAATTGCTAATAATCTGTTGTGTAATTTATTATAAAGATTCTAACAAAACCTTCTATTTTTCATAAATCACACAACATGACTTACACCACTTATCTAGGTTTAACATCCTCACGTAATTACAATAAATGATTACTCATACTTATACTTATCGACTATTCAAGATTAATGATAAGATAAAAAAATACCTTTATCCAACTGACCATTATAATCCTAAATTATAAACAAATTTACAGTTTTGAAATCCTCAATATACTATTCTATAGAAATAATCTAAAGAATGTGTTTTGAACAATATCTAATTTGAATAATAATAATGATTTCCGAAGTGGAAATGGACACATCAAATAAATTTAATTTTCAACTTAAATTATGGCTTTATTCCCAAATAAAATAGTAAACTTATAGTTATTAAAATAAATGAACAAAAGCATACTTACTTGCAGAATTAAGCCGAAAATAGAATGCACACAGGTACAATAGCACAGTTTTTAAGTCTAAATTAACACTATAAACAAATTTATCCACACAGTTTAAATTAACAACACTATAAACAATATTTATCCACACAGTTTCAATATACGAAGTATAACGCCATTAATATACGAAAATACGAAACGTAACTAAGAACCACAGTAAGTCGGTTCGTCACTGTTAAAATTGACAAACGTGAGCATTTAATTTCTAACCAATGATAAAACTCGGGATTGCTGTGACGACACCGCCACACCCACCGTCCGCGTGTACCCACAACTCATCTTGAAAACGGATGAACTGTAGTAACATTAATTAATATTATATTGCATGCTCTTTCGTGATTTATTTGCGATATGGCAACACTGCCAAATACAAATCTGTCACTAATTTGTAACTAACTTCATCGGCACTTTCTCTATACTTCTGCTACTACATTATATACTTTTGTTGAAAGTTATTTCTCTGATGTCCTGATCTAGTGTATATGATGAAATTTATACAACAAAGAAATGTTAAAAAATAAAAGAGAAACATATCTTAAATATATATAAACGAATTTATTTATCCACAACTAACCAATATAACATATTACAAAAAGTATGTTCTGGGTTTGCGGACTGAGAAACGGTTCATTGATTTGTGTTGGATACGTTTAGGTAATGGGAAACTGATCTTTGAATCGTGGAATTGTTTTACTTGTGGCCTTCTGGTGTTGCTGGCCTTTACTTCTTCAACTTTAATAATCTGAAAAAAAAAAGTTACAAGTTAATTTTCTATTTTTACTAAATATATGTGCTTATAACAACATTTGTTGATCATATATAAAAAATTTCAACATGAAACAATGTCAGGTATTGAATACCAGGAAAAAAGCCACTCAGACTAATTCCAACGATGCAATATACCTAATCTCTTTAGCACCGATTCGACCTACTCAAATATAATAAATTTAAGTAGGAGATACCATAGTGCATGAAAATAATGTTAATTGGCAAATTTAAAAATAACAGTGTTGGAAAGAAAGTGATTATTAACACTTTCTGATTATTTGATTTATGACTGTATATGACTGTTATATGACTGCATAACTGTTCACCTTATGATTAACATTCAATATTGAAGGGGTAAATTATATTGGTTTCTATAAAGCCCAAAGTATACATTTACAGAAAAACACCTTTCTTCATTAAATTACTACAGGAAAACTCCATTTTACACATTTCATTTTGTTAACTGGAATGGTGCATACAGCATAACAGTAAATGTACTTGTTCACTTAACCCTAGCAGTACCACTGTCATTTATAAGTGTCAAATGTGTGGGTGCTGTAATCACTTATAAGCACTTTGGTAACATGGATAGTTTATAGGAGCCAATTTGAATGAGATAATGTTAACCCTTAATATCCTGAATTATTATATTTTTGAAAAATGATATATTTTATGGTACTGTTGTTCGTATGAGTCCTCTAGTCAAGTTTCTGAGCTTATTGTCAAAAAAAAAGTTAACAAAAAAAAGTTATTAGCTGTGACATATATGTCACTCTAGGACATACAGGGAGCAAAATGAAAAAAAATGCTAAAGCTTTATTAAACTACATATTTAAACAAAAAAATATGTTTTACACATGTATAGAGAATTATCTTGTATGAAACTTGTGCATTGATAACAATCAATGCACAACCACAAATAACACGTTCTACACATGGTTCTAACAACAGAAGTGCAATTTTAAAATGTGCATCGTCGTCTTTTCTTGTTTGGAATATATATATATATCAAGATGTGATCTTGTTTGTCAAATCTGACAGTGTCGCTGGTTCGACTACTGAGACTGCTTGAAATTGAGGGTTTTGGTTGACCTGCACCTTTAGCTTCTGTACCATACTGCATTAGATATAAAGTGGCTATATCTCTGTGAAAATTGATGTTTTATAGAATTGCCAGGTTTTTTATAGATATGCCAAGCGTTTTCCAATAATGCCTCTAGTAACCATGTAAATAATTGCCATCGCCGTTTTTTGGATCTAATACTAATCCTGTACCTTCCTATATTTTGATCCATCAAGTCCGTCCTTCCCATCGATGAGTTATATTTTCCCATGCGACAAGGACGAGGTACTTGAATAATTTTCTTCTCTTTCGGAGAAAACCTGTTTACATGTGTCATGGGTGAATGCCATAAGAGGTAGACGCAGTAGTAACAATATTATTGTCGGACCAACGTACAAAAATTATACCTTTGTTACGTTCAATAATGCCACTACAATCACCTCGATCTGTCTGTTTTTGGAAATCAGTTTTAGAGAAAATACCATTTTCTCGCATATTGGACAGTAGGTTAACACTGGCAAACAAGTTGTCTACAAAGAATTTATATGGTAGGTTTTTCTTATTGGTGGGTAACTCACGCAACATGTTTAGTAGTGGAGCAGTAGCTTAAAATTCTCTGTTGGTAAGTCCCCAGATGGCAATAATCGTTGTTCCTCAAATCGCCGAGAATATCGTAATATTTGTTATATTATAAACATGTGTGATGACACAGTGACTGCGAAATTGATACCTGATCAATGATCATTGTTATCCAACTGGCAGTTAACAATGTTTTATAAATCTTAGTAAATAATTCACTAGGAATGAAATCACGTCTTATGTTTATTTTTGCTGAAATACGGTAGTACATTATCCTAGCATTGCATATATGTAATACTGAACTTTGGCACTACACAGAACTAAGTGGTAGTGAAATATTTAAATAAAATTTGAAAGATGTAGGCTATGTAAAGCTTAACTTACTTTTTGAGCTAAAAAATTGCAAGATAAAAAAATAAATGTATTTATTCTAGATTGATGTCCATTTTTTCTAAATATTTATCTACAGCTTATTTTAAATATTCACAGGCACAAAATTTTCGCACACTATGTCTGCAAACTAGTTAACATGTATTAGAGGAAGTGTCAAACTAAGTCTGTCTCATAGTTAGAAAGTTTTTTATATGTAACTATGTCCAATACTACTAATTTAAAAAATATGGCATCTCAATAATGGGTGTGATTAAAACTCTGATCTACTTTATTCCAAGGAAGAATGCTGACCCCTACATCTGAGATTTCATATGTTATTTTCAGAATGAAGTTACTCGTACATGATGTTGACATTTTTGTTGATGTATATAAGAGACAAGGCAATGAGACGAGAAACTGAAATCTTGTAAAACGAGTAGACATACACAATAAAATACTAGAGAATCACAGATTTCTTGAAAAGAATCAACAGAAATATTAAAGTCACATCATTTTAGACGAATTATAAAAGCATAAAGAAGACAAAGAGAACATATTAAGTAAATCCCTTTATTTTAAATTTGCCCTTAGAAAACAAGCATAATTTAAGTAAGATATAGGTTGCCACAAACACAATCTTAAAATATTTCCAGTAATATCAACATAACTCACCTGAATGGAATGAGCTCTAGCTCTGTGGCGAGCTCCCATATCCCTGTAACAAGCTGTTACTGCACCTGATACACTGAGGTCACGGTATTCCCTGTACATGTTGTGTGTACCAGAACGGGAGTCATACCTCAACCAAATACCAAAGTTCTTAATTTTAATGGGAGATTTTTCTGGAATTTGTCTAACTGACACAATTTCTCCAGTAGTTTTCTTGAACTTCCTAAGTTGCCTCAAGAAATACCAAAAGCGGGACTTCGCTACAATTTTGTCTGGAGAGAAAATTCTCATTTTATACAAAGGAGTACTCTTCTCCTTTTCGGTGGGCAATTTGCGCCCGATAACTTCATACTCCTTCAACTAAAACAAATAGAAAATGTATTGTGCGTGTATCAAACCACATGTTTACAACAATTATTAATTTTAAAATCTTAAGGACTTTAAATGCTAACTAATGATAACATAATATTAACATTCTACGTGAAAACTATGAATTAGTAATAATACAAATTTTATATTTTCATATATTTCGGTAAAAAATATTTTACTAACCTCTCCTTTGGCTTTCATGGCTACGGTTTTTACGGAAAGGAAGCGGAAATGTGCTTTCTGACTTTGACACTTCTCCGACGTCAAAATAATATACAATTCTATCGAGTGATGTCGCTGGAAACATTCTTCTTTTTTTATACATAAAATAGTTTTTTAAACTTTCACAATGATTGTCTAGCCTCTTAACACACGAAATTAGTTCAAATGCTGATTTTATTTCGAGTATAAAATAATCTGTAATTGTTTTTATAATGTAAAATTTCAGTATAATCACTCCTTCCGGATAAGGTAAAGTATCCACAGTGTCAAGTAATCTTTATGCAACCAGTATTACGAATACAATAAAAGCATTGTTTAAATAAGAATTTTAAACAATGATAAAAGTATTATACATTTTGAAAATACAATAATTATTGTACATACCTAGGTTTTAGTTTAATACATATTACGGATATTATTACAGACTATTTTGAAGATGATGTAAGACGACAAAAAAAAGACAAATCGAATTTTTGTATGGTAACAAAATAATAAAGTTACAATAAATATATGTTTAGGTTTTTAAATATTGGTTTAAACATACATAAATAGTTTGAACATAATAAAAATATGTTAATTGTATCTAAAGATAAAGAAATTTATCTGCTGTCAAATTTATATTGTTTAAAGCTATTTTATGGTGAGAATTTTAATATTATTTACTATCTTCAATAATTAACATTTATTTCGATTTCCACTTCGGAAAATACCAATTTACAGTTCTCAAAATATAAATTTATACTCTTGTTTAAATCAAATAAAATATTCGTGAATCAGTAATGATCCAACAAATTTAAATCTTATACCTACTTGCCACAATTTTTCGTATATTCTATCTCATTTTATTAGCTCCACTTTTTTCTTGTCGATAATCCTAATCGACTAATATTCTTTCTACCTCTCAAGTGATTATCTTGAAAGATACGATCTAACGTAGTAAAAAGTATGGCTTTCGGAAGTTCATCTTGTCTTTATCAATTAGCGTTACATGTTTTTTCCAATGCCTATCTGTTACCGAATGTTTCACTGTTTCTTATTTAATATTAGCCTCCTAAATTGTTTAAATTGTCACACCATCTTTTTCTTGGTCTGCCAATACTTCTTCGTCTATTTGGTGACTTATCTCGTTTACTGATGTGTTCGTTTCACTCCTGTTTTCGTTTGTCACCCATCATGTCTTCTATATTGCATGCTCTTCTTATGTTTTCGCTTCTCTCTCTATCCAACAGACTTTTCCCTGCTATTCGTCGAAGTATTTTCATCTCTGTTGTTTCTAGTAGTCGTCTCGTTTTAGATGTTTCAGGTCTTGTCTCCGTCGTATATGTCAATATAGCTCTAATTGTTGATTTATATATTCTTGTTTTTGTTTCTTGTCTTAGGTGTTTTTCTTCCAGATTGTGTCATTAAGAGATCCCCGACGCTTTACTTACTTTTAATTTTTGTTGTCGTACTTCTTCAACATCTCCGTAACTAGTTATGTCTATTCTCAGATATCTAAACCTTGCTATTCTGGGCCAAATATTCTAATTTTTTACGTTTTTGCTAACGCTTCAAGTTATCAGTCCATCTACTGGACGTCCTCTGCTTCTAGAGCTTCTTGTATTGGCTTTCACTCGATAATACGTGTTGTCCTTTTTACTTTATACATTATTCTTTTTTTATTTTGCAGTAATCTGGTGTTTGATATTTTGTCTATCCATAAAATTTATTTTAAGATTTCTTATATATGAAGTGCACAATTTGAATTCTTCCAGTTCAGTTCTTCCTTCTAAATCACATTAACGCAATATCCAATAGATACCTTTCCCTGCTTTAGTTGTAGTTGATTTATATGGATATTATGCATAACGAATCCCATATATGTATAAAATTATATATATATATATATAGTCCCAAGATTCCTAAGAGGAACATAGGGCTTCCACAAAGTGTCTCCAGCGAACTCTATTTCTGGCTAGTGCTAGTGCTTTTTTTTTTTTTTTTTTTTTTTTTTTTTTTTTTTTTTTTTTTTTTTTTTTTAACAAAAAACAAAATTTGTTTAATTTACTGTTTGTATTTTGAGAACGATTTCCGAAGTGGAAATTGAAACGTCAATAAACGTATTTTTATCTTTAATTGTGGCTTATTCCCAGTTTAATAGTAAATAATTTTGTAGTATAGGTTTTTCTCTTTTGAATTGTTGGACCTTGTCATATTCGAGAATTATCATGATTGTTCGTGGTCATTAATTGTATGGATTGAGACTGAATGCAAGTTAGGAAAAGTGAACTCCTCACATGCCAGCGACAGATCTAGTCATTTGGAAACTTCCAATGAAACACCAACCTAAAGACATAAAAAAGATAAACCCAAACTATTATTAACTCTTCTTCTACTATTAGTTCTAGTATCCATTATTAGTTCTTCTTTGCTATTCTTAGTTGTTAGGGAAGGGAAGTCTTTATTGTTTGTTGATGTTCTGTCTTAGTTTTGTTTTTTCTTTTTAATTTATGGTACTTTGAAGTTACCATTTAAGACATCACAATTTAATTCATCAAAAAATTATCAACAGATAAAATTGAATAACTGTTGGAATTTACCTCATGTCCTCTTTATAGGACCAGTCCCTTAGTCAAGCACTTCACTGACTATCTGCATCTTTAACTTATCACTTTGTTTTTTATTGCCTCTCGCGGCCAGTGTCAACACCTAGTTGAACTTATCGTCCAATATGCACTCACTGATTTAGAAAATTCCACTTTGACTTGAAAAATTCGCTTCAGTCTGTACACAACAGTTGGATCTACTAGAAACTTGGTACATAGGCAGTCCAAGTAAAAACAATATTGAATTTAGAATCAATTACCAAAATTATATGTAACTCCAGATAGAGAAAACTTGGTATATACTAAATTCATAATTATTGTCGACAATACAAAAGATTTTATGTTTACGAACACTGTTGAGTCCATTGATATTTTAGTCCATCAGTATATTTTAACATAATAGGCTAATGGACTATGTCCCTAGTCATAAAAATAAAACTACACACACACACACACACACAGTCTATTTTACTTCTTTGACATTAATTCCATGTGTTTAAATACTTACTTTTAGGGCATCAAATTTCCTCTTCTTATATTTTTGAATGTTCTTTTATTTAATAATATAGTTAACTATTTGAGTACTTCTCATTAACTTCTTAGCATAAATAAAGTAATTGTGAAATCCATTAATAAAAGCAAACTAAGATACACATAATATGTTTAGGTAGCAAATACAGGGAAATAGAGTTGTAGAACACTAGATGATGAGAGCTGATACAAGAGAAACTGAATACATGCTTAGAACAGCAAAAATGAGAATCTTAAGGCCAATAATTGGGAAAACACACTAACAAACAGAACACCAAATAACGAAATCAGATAACTCTGTTACATCCAGGATATCATATGATGGGGAAACAAAGAAAAGATAAGTGACACCAGTATGTTACACAAATAGACAGTGAGAGACTAGTCATAAAAACAGTGGTTTTAAAACAAACCAGCACCAGACTAATTTTTTCAATTTAATTCTACTTTGCTTAAAGTTAAGTAAGACATAAATTTAAAATGACAACCTTCTTTATTACTACAACTTATAATAGTTTACAAATTCTTAAAATAACTATCTAATGTGGTTTTGGTGTATGTCCATCTACATAAAAATTCCTAGTGGCTTTGGGTAATTCAACTTCTAAACCTTCAAGATCTTTATTTAATACAATTTGACAACCTAATCTCGAATTTTCTTTTAAAAATGGAGCCATATCTAGAAGATCTTCTTCAGTTTCTGTTGCTTCTGGTAAAATATCAAGATGATCACTTTGAACATAGCAATGACATGTTGTACATGCTAAAGATGCCTCACAAGCACCTTCCATTGGTATTTGATATCTATGAGCTAAATAAAGTAAGTTATCTCCTACTTTTCCTCTTATAGGTACTTTCTCCCCATCTTTTGTTATAACCGTAATATTGACTCTGTAATAAACACAATAAAAATAATTATTAAATTAAATAACTATCAAAATACGGTTTAGTAAACAAGGTTAAGTTTTATAAGTTAAATACTTATTCTCAGGTTACAAAATAAAGTTTAGACTGGGTGGATTTTGTTACCCAATCAAGCCAATATGTTGAAATATTGTCAGAATATGCTCTTACTTCATTATTATAAGACGGCCCTACAACCCTTCATAGCTCAACTTACTTTTAATAACAATAACTAAGAATATATTATCAATGAACAGAAGAAATTAGCAATTAATTTTTTATCACCCATTAATTTATAATATACTTTACATTTGCTTTGGCGTTTCAATTTCCAATCTAGAAATCATTTAAAAAAAAAATTAACCTGTAAATTTGTATACACAACAAAAACCAAACAATAACCAATCTTAGAATAAATATATTGGAAAATCATTTTAAATGGATCAAATGTTTACTGTAGAAGTCGCTACTGCTTCAGATAATATGGATAAACCCATAATTTAAAATAGGTCTACTTATTTTTTCTGATTATATGTTAAATACTTACACTTCATTTTCGGATTTTGGATCTTGCCATTCGTATTCACTATGAAAATTATCTAAAACAAATTGTGTTAGATAACATTAATCCCTAAATAAAATTTTGCAAATACCTACACAAAGAAGTTCGAAAATGTTTAATATTTATATTATTACGAATTCTTCTTGTATTTAGAGTTACTTGCAATAATTTGCGTATATATTTTGCATGATTTAACATAACTGCAGAAGATCTTTTTATATATCACAGAAAATACACATATTTTTGCACAAATATGTAAACAAAATACAAAATTACAAAATTAAATTTAAAAATTTTTGAGGTTAGTTAGTTAATTTTTCCATTTTCTTCTTTTTCATTTTGATATCTTCTATATTTAAATCATTAGGAAGTACCGGAAGTACGGATAATAGTATATAATAATAATCTCTTTGTTTCTATCATACTATGCATGAATTCGTTTTAAACTATCGGCGGACCCAAATGAACCAAACAAGGGTTTGCTGGAATAGTTCTTACTCAAAATAATTCGCTTTATTTAAAATTATTATGAATCTGAATTCTTCTGGCCTCAGATGATAAAGACGGTCATGGATGGTCACGGCTAGAGAAATAAGCCGTGTTATGCTAAAATGATGAAAGAAGAAAGGAATTGAAGTTATGACATTGACATTTCTTTTGACGTTTTTGACTTGGTACAAAATATTGAATGAGAATAATTATTGGATACCTTCTATAGGTATTAGAAAATTATAATCCTGGTCCGTAATAATAGATAACAATGGTTATTCTTAGTACTTTAAGAACATTAATTCGACTGCCATCGTCAACTGTGCGAAATGAAGGTATTTTCAAGTTTATTATGTAATAAGAGAGGTTATGGAATTTATAAATGTATTTATTTTTTAGCTTCAAAAAGGCTGATGTCTGATCATAGGGTTTTTCCTATGCAGCCTTCTAGGTGGCAATGGATCAAATTTAAGGATTATTTTCATTACTATGTAATGTTGGGAGTTATACCAGCTACTTTGGCTATCACTTATGCCAATGTGTTTATTGGACCTTCTACCCTTTCCGAAATACCCGAGGGATATACTCCAAAATTTTATGAATATCACAGGGTATGGTAGATTAGCAAAAATACCCAATATTGTTTACTTACGGAATTAAAATCAAATTAATATAAAAGTCGTGGACAGTAATATTTTTGATAGAAATTAAGATCCATTCTAGGGATCAACGACTGCCTTATAATCATTATTCAGTACATTTTTAAAATGAGCTTTATTCACTTGAACATTGAACACGTTTTCAAATATAGCATGTTTCCATACATATTGCAATGTCAGAAAAGATCTGTTAACACTCTCACCGCCAAGTGTAACATTAAAGTGCACGCTGTATTGATAAACATGTAACATTAATGTACACTTGCGTTTCACTTTAACAAAATAATATAGTTTTGGTGCATGATGAAAAAATTTAAAATATCATTGGCGGTGAGAGTGTTAACAAAGTATTAAAGATATATTTTAACACACTAGAACATAAGATATACTAAAAAAAAAATGGAATGTAGTAAGTAATATATAAAACATTTTCTTTATTAGGAAAACATAAAAGAATACAGATAAATTTATAAAAAATATATGTATACAAAAATTTTTAATGTCAATGTAAAGTTGAACATTACCATGTAATAAAATATAATAATAGGCAAATACTTCAGGCATGGAATCTCTTAAGCTTCTAATGTGCTATGAATGAGTATTACTGGTCCATGAGACCTTATTTTTCTATACAATTTTAAGTATCATAATACAAGAATAGACTTAAGCTGATGTCACTGACATTATCACATAATATATCTAATAGGACTAATATATCTAATAATCTAATTGGACTGTTAATTCCTATACATTCAAGTTTGTGTAGTAGAATATCATGTATCCTATCGAAATACTTGGATAAGTATAGACAATATAGACTAAATATCCCCTTCCAAGGCTTCTAACAGTGATTCAATATAAACCAAAAGATTTGTTACAGTTAAAGGATTGTGTGTTGGGCTGTTAGCTAGGAACTGTTGTATTACTAACTACTATTGATTCAAATAACTTTTCCCACAATATCAAATCTACAAATTGGTCTATATTTATTAATCAATGACCTAGTCAATCATTATAGTTATAAAGGGAATTGTTCACTGTATAAGAAAATATAAATTTACATTATTTAAAAAACTAAACAGCTAATTCATCAGGACCAACTTACTAGTTTCAAATACAATTATTAACAATAACATTAAAAACATCAATCACAGCTATTAATATCATGGGTTCTATCCATTGGTAGCTCCATTCTCTCATAATTTTGATTTTCTTCTCAATAGAGCCAAAAAGATCTGATTATTGAGAAGATTATTGTTAAGTAAAGTAATATTATTTGTGGATCTGAACATACAGCTACAGTTTCATCTATACTATTTTATGAAGCACTCAGTACTCAACATTTGGACTAGTTTTGATAATTTATATATCTTTTTTTTAGAGTCCTGTAACAAGATTTTTAGCCAAATACATTTGTACAGATCCACAACAAGAATATGAGAAATATCTGGCATATATTTTCATGGAACATGAGAAAATGAGACTTCGGTAAGTATTGTATTCTTGGTCAAATATTTTTGAAAATTACATAAAATATTTTTCCAGAAATTTTACCAGTTATATAGCACTTTTTTATTTCTGCATGGCATCCTCTTCAAGTAAGTTGGAGGTTGACTGAAATATAATGTCCATTGATTTTATTTTGAATACTTTGGTTGGTTTGACCTATGTATGATTAAGGACCTGTGTATTCTGGAGAAACTTTATTAACTCAGCATTGTTCATTTGAAATATTATCTTTACGGATCAGTAAGGGAAGGAAGTTTTGGGTGGGAATTAAAGGTTCTTTTTCTTACCCTTGATTTGAGAACATTATGTATTCTGTCAGTAACATCTTCAATATAAGGAAGAACAGCTATGGTATGGTATGGTATGGTCAGCATATATATTTGTAGTGAGTTTAGTGAGTGGGTGAATGACATAATTTTCGCTGCAATTATTTTAAACAAGGGCTTGTTTTAGGTATATTGTTAACTGGATATAAAAAGTTACACTGGCGTCAAACAGTGACAGCTTGCATAAACGGAAAATCAACAGAAATATGTAAAATACAAAGAGGTGTCAGACAAGGTTGTATACTATCCCCACTGTTATTTAATTTATATTCAGATATAATATTTAAAGAAGCGCTGCATAATTTGGAATGGGACGTGAAAGTTAATGGAATTCTGATAAATACAATCAGATATACAGATGATACAGTTATTTTAAGTGATGACATGAGTGGATTACAATGCCTTTTAAATGCCATTGATACAGTGGGAAGAGAGTTTGCCTAAACATAAACTGTTCAAAAACAAAACACATGGTGTTTAGCACATCAAGATGCACAATTATATGTTGATGGTCATATAATTCAAAGAGTGCCCAGTTTTAAATATCTTGGTTGCCATATTACTGAACAACTAGATCCAGATCAAGAGATACAATGTAGAATCGAGATAGCCCACACGACATTTTTAAAAATGAGGTCATTCTTCTGTAACGGTAACTTGAAACTTCAACTTCGAAAGCGCATGGTTAAATGCTCCATTTGGTCAGTCCTCTTATATGGTGTCGAAGCATGTACATTAAAAATATCCACCATTAATCGTCTGGAGGCCTTTGAAATGTGGCTGCACAGATGTATACTAAAAATTCCATGGACGGCTATGCTGACAAATGTGGCAGTCCGAGAGAGCAAATGCTGCTCGCGAGCTGCTTGATAACATCAAATGTAGAAAGATGGCCTATTTTGGACATGTAGTAAGGAGAGACCGATATAATATTCTTCAACTTATTATGATGAGGTAAAATCGAAGGACGCAAAAAAACTGCCTTTTAATATTTGTTTGAGAAATATTTCTATTCTTTATAAACATAATTTATCGTTTTTATTTAATTATTGAAATCAATTCACTAAATATGGATGCATTTATTTAAAAATATGTAGAGTCATTTCTTGTTAGCATGTTTGGCTCAGGGATATTTTTATCTAGTGTAGCTTCATTTGCAAGTTTATCCACTACTTTAATTCCCTTGATTCCAACGGACGATGGCACCCATAAAAAGTTATTTCTTTTTTTGTTCATAGTAGTAACAGTTAATTCTTTTATTAGCATTATGATTTCGTTGAATGGATGTAGTTGCTGCAAAGCTGGTACTGTACTTAAAGAGTCAGATATTAATGTAATGAGGTGCAGATCTCTGTTTAGAAACATTTTGTGTCTCTAAAATAGCCGTAAATATGCTACAGATCAGAGGGGGGCGTATTTTAAATTTGTCTGATCGATTGAGTTTTTGGTGCATCAGTATAGATATGTTCAGACTTTGGATAGGGGGATATTATTTCAAATGATTGATGGATTATTGTTGGGTTAGTCTAGTGGATGTTCTGGGTTTGCAATTGTAAGGGAATTATTTACAATTGGTTGACTTATTGAGCAAGGGTAACTTTTAATTTTGTTTTACATTTATTTTACAATTTTGGATGGTGTTTTATCAGAATCTGAAATTTCGCACCAAATTAGATCTGTATTAGAAAATCTTTGGTTTTCTTTAAATTTGACGTTCTTTACACAGTTTTTAAAATTAGGATAATACAATTGTCATTACTGTACATTTTTAAAAATTTTATCATTCATTTTAATACGTCAGAGCCCTGCCAAATAACGTATTCTAGGACTCTAATGTATAACCCATTTGCACAGTCATGTATGAGAATCTATCATAGTAGCACAGCTTTCGACTGGAGAATCCAAATCTTCCTCATTACCTCTTTTGTTTTAAAATTTGATATATTTCAGTATTGGAAAAATTAATCCAGGCTATTCTCTCTACTTATTTTTTTTTAGTATTACAAATGATTTTCTACCTAAATTATGACTTCAATTAGACTATGGCTGTTTTTGTAAATCTCAAGTTTGTACATATGATTAATTATTATTGGAATAAATGTCTAAAAACTTTTTTATTTGTAGTAAACTCGAGAAGGAAGTGAAACACAAAATGGCCGAAAGAAACGATTATCAAGCTTACTACTACCGACCAGTTGCTGCCAAATATCACAGAATTACAAGAGAAACTGCTGATTACTTGGAAACTATTAGAGGAGAATAATTTTTTCCGAATCATGTGTAAATATGACATTGTTTAAACAAATAGTTGTTTAAAATTGTCTTGTTATTCAATAGTAAGATTGTATGTAGTTAATTTAATAAATTTTTAACTTAATATCAATTGTTTCATTTATTTAAGTGTGAACATTTTCTTGATTTAAACGTAATAATTTTCTATTCAACGTAACAATGGCAAGTTTTAAAATAACAGCCATTTGCTATCATCATCACTGGCTCTACCTACAACCCTTTTTGGGTTGTGGCCTGTTCCAGGATTCTTCTACATTCCTCTAATATACCTCTTACGTCACGATCCGACGAGCAGTCGCGCCTCCACAACGAAAAGATAAAAAAATGACCAGAAGGGACCTTGGATTTTCTTATGCAGATTTACATGGGAAAATGCCCGATTTTGGGCTAGAACTCTCACAGCCCTTTTACTAGTACAACATTTCAAATGCCTCCAATCGTTTTATGGCATCTTCTGTAAGGCTCCAGCTCTCTACTCCATAGAGGAGGACATTAAGGATGTAACATCAAAGAATTCTTATGCGTTTATTGATACTTAAAAATAGGTTACAGGTTGCAGAGAATCTTCCGAAGCCTGTTAAAAGAACTTCTGGCTTTTTCAATACGAGTTTTTATTTCGTAGCTGTGATCCCAAATATCCCTAATATTGCAGCCCAAATAGCATATTTTTCCACTCTTTCTAACGGTGTATCGCCTATTGTAATTTGGGCGTTTTTGGTGTTCTTACTAATGATCATTATTTTTGTCTTCTTGTAATTTAGTTTTAGGTTTCATTTGTTACATGTTTCTACAACGTTATCCATCATCCTTTAGAGCCCCTGCGCACTGTCTGCCAGTAACACTGTATCGTCTTCATATCTAATATTGTTTAAAGTACAGCAATCCCATCTTCTGATTCGTCCAAGGACTCTCTAAAGATGTTTTTAGAGTAGGGGAAAGGTAGGTAAAGTGGAATGGGTGGGTAAAGCGGAATAAGCTTAAAATTTAATTTCAAAATTGGCGGTTTTTGTTGACAACTCCTACCACAATATACCTTTTGACATTTGGCAATATTTACTTCAATATGGCGCACTTTCATTGATATGTTCATGTGAGTTAAACAAGATCATTGTTTTTTAACAAAAAGTTGTAATATTTGGTGACTAAGACGAAATTTCTTATCAGCAACAGGTAAGTTTTTCTAACCGTATTTATTATCTATTGTATAAAATGGTTATTTGTGGACATAAATACTCTTTCTTTAACTTATTAGCACGTTTGGTTAGTAGCTATCGTGTTTGTACAGAAAAAATGTTGATGCGGGTAAAGCGGAATGACGTTCCACTTTACCTCCTAAAAGTTTAACAATGTTATTAAGTGACAACATTTTTTTAGCATGCCTAATTTTTACAAACGAAAGACTTCGCAGCAGAGTTGGGACGAGAAGGCAATGGCTGAGGCTCTAACTGCATGTCAAGGTGGTTTAGCAATTCATTCTTCTGCAAAACAATATAACATTCCATCGACAACTCTTTTTAGAAGATTAAAGCGACCACCAGAAGAACGTTTAGTGAAGCATCTTGGACGATTCCGTTGCGTGTTCACGGTAGATCAAGAGAGGATGTTGGTAGACTATATTCTTAAAATGGAAGAACGCCTGTTTGGGCTAACTATTTCTGACTTAAAATATCTTACCTACGAGTTTGCCATACGAAATAACATTGAACATAGATTCAATAATGAGAAGAAAGAAGCTGGTAAAGTATGGTTGCTTGGTTTCATGAAACGGCACCCAGTTCTTTCACTTCGACTTCCAGAAAAAACGTCAGCAGCGCGAGCGTCAGCATTTAACGCAGTTAGTGTCGGAAAGTTCTTTGATTTATTGGAAGACTTATACCAAAAACACAACTACAAACCTAACCGCATCTATAATTGTGACGAAACCGGAATCTCTACCGTGCCAAATAAGCCTTCAAAGATTATTTCAAAAAAGGGGAAAAAGCAAGTAGGAGTTTTATCATCAGCTGAAAGAGGTACGCTTACAACTGCAGAAATTTGCTTCAACGCTGCAGGGGAATACATCCCTCCTGCTCTTATTTTTCCACGGGTGAGACATCACTTGACATTCGACATTGGAGTTCCTCTGAATACCAAAATTTTCACGCATGCTTCTGGATGGATGCAGACCGAAATCTTTACGGCTTGGTTTCACCATTTTATTAAATTTGCGAAGCCTACCTCCGAGGACAGGGTTTTACTAATTTTAGATGGCCATTCAACCCACATAAAAAACATTGAAGTCTTAGAGTTTGCTAAGAAAAACTTTGTAGACATCCTGGTGCTACCACCACATTGCACACATCGACTTCAGCCACTGGACGTATCATTTATGTATCCCATGTCGACCTTCTATGAACAGGCAGTGCGAGTTTGGCTGCGAACCCACCCGGGGAAAGTTGTGACGATTCATGATGTCGGTCCTCTCTTCGGAGAAGCTTACTTGAAGGCAGCTAGTATGGCAACAGCTATCTCAGGATTTAAGAAGACGGGTATTTGGCCGTTTGAGAGACCTGATCCAAACGTTTTCGTGGCTGCAGATACAACTGATCGTCCTGGGCCTCTACTCGCTACATCTAACCTGCCATCAGCGTCCACTCCAGTGTCAAATGACATTCTCCTCCATAAGACTATTGTTAGTCCTGCGGATATTTTACCTATCCCACGGGTCGCTTCAAATATCGAAAATCCAACGAAGAAAAGGGCTCGATCAGGAAAAACTGTAGTAGCAACTTCTACCCCTTTTATTGAAGAGTTAAAGAATTTGAAGGCTCCGACCCCAAAAAATCCAACCAAGAAAGTTACGAAGCAACTGTTTCAAAGCGACAGCGAAGAAGAAGATGATGCAAACATCAGCATTTATAGTGACACCGACAGCGGTTCAGAGTTGGACCTACCAGTTCAAATTCCTACCATAAAAACAGAAGATATTAAGGAAGGGATATAAGTAGCTGTAGAGTACAACGGACAAACATTTCCCGGTTTAGTAATTTCAAAATCAGGTGAATCAGCGTCTGTAAAGTGTATGGAAAGGACGCAAAAATATTTCAAATGGCCTAATAAAGATGATGTATTAGATTACAACATTAAGGACATTAAAATGATTATTAATGAACCAAAACAGTTAAGACGAGGGTTTTTCAATGTTCCTGAGCTCTGTTTATATGCTTAGTTGAATAAATAATATTAATCCATTTTAAGTTTTTGTATTCCGCTTTACCTCCAATATGGCGGGTAAAGTGGAATATTACACCACTTTTACTTTTGACGTTTTTCTCCGAAGTGGTGATATATTAGTTTAATTTCTTAACAGTACTACGTAGGGCTATAACGTAAGTGGCTTCTTCCATAAACTCAAACTTTTAAGACGAATACTTCTACCGGGATACAAGCTTGAATCGGTAATTATTCCACTTTACCTACCTTTCCCCTACCTATATGTTAAATAATGCCGTTGACAATATGCAACCCTGTGGATATATATGGTATAAAACCCGGTTCGCTATTCCCAGTCGGCAGTCCGAACTGTCTAGCATAGACCAAAACCAAATAGATGGCGAACTCAATAATGACATTTAGAAGCTAAAAGGCGACATCTACAAATTCGAAGAAACTAAATACAACGTTGCCGCTCTATTGCCTCTTATAGTTTTCTTATTCAGTTATAAATACAGAGTGCACATAAATGTGCACTCAGTGTGAAATATGTTTCGAATGTTTTTAGAAAAAAAAAGGATAAATAAAACTGATAATTAACAAAAAAAAATTTTATTTATTAATTTATTTAATTTTATAGTGTAAATTGAACATGGATATTTGCACCATACCACACATAAGTTTTGTAAAAATTATTATTATCTATATTGAATATATCTATCTGAAGTGAATAACAAAACAAACATATTAATCAAAAAAAATTAACTTGTTAAAAAAATCTACAATTACAATAGATCATTCTTACCTTAACAAATACAGATTAAAACTTAACACTATAATGGAACAAATACAGATTAAAACTTAACCTAACACTATAAAACTTAAACACTTTAATAGACTAATAAATTAAGAACTATAAATGCCACACCGAGTTAAATAAAAATACATAAAAGATCCTCAAAAGATAAACACCACCACGCTGTAAATAGTAAATAATCACACAAGAATCTTGACAAGTTGACAAATTTAATGTTGACGTTGACGTGAAGTTGCCATGTCTTTTTAAAATATGTAGGTACTGTAGCGCCATCTGTGTATTCGAAGAAACTAAAATAAATTTCAAGGTCGCCAATATGAGATAAATATCTATATTGTTTTTATCTATGCTGTCTAGTGATTTTAGTAATTATTTTTTGCGAAGTTAGTTACTTTTTGACAGACTCGAAGTGGCTGGAAATTACTATACAACCAAGCATACGTGCTCTTAGTCAATATTAATGTAAACAAAAGTAAATAAAATAGAACTTTACGAATTACCGACAATCAATATTTATTTACACCATATAATATATTGATAATAAATAATAAAATTATTTATTGTATAAAATAAAAATGGTGGGAATAAATTCTACAAAATTAAGAAGTCAAAGTGAGGTTAAATAAGACACAGCAAGTTCCTTATGTTGTGCAGTTCTTTTTCTTATTCCTTTATTTGTCCCATCCTGCCAAGAACTTCTAACTGATCCAGAAGAAAATATCCATGTTTCGTCTAAAAAAATTAAGGGCTTTTTGTAAACGCCTTTTTGGTCATTTTCATGGCAAATCCTTAAACACTATGCCTCATCTCAACTACGTGAGGAACTTCCATGAAATGTTTTTGTGGACTGTCTATTTTGTATATGAATCCTATTTCTTTAAAGATCAGAAAAAGGCTTGTTTTTCCTCCTTCATAAATAAATTTGTCTCTTAAAACCTTCAGCAGACTAGATATTGTATGAGGCAACTCTAAAACAATTATTAATTTTTAGGTAGTTTACATATCCAAGCTAAAATTTTCTCGGAAAGAGTGTCAATATACGAAGCCCTAACAACTACATAATCGAACAAACTA